AATAATTTGGATGATAATTTGGTCTTGGGGTTTGGCAGCAAGAAGGGGGGCTATTTTCCTCCCCAGCTGGTTCCCTGGAAGAGGCTGGCCAGCCTCTTCGCACAACAGTTGTAGAATCAGAGAGTTGGAAGGGACCCCCCAGTGGTCATCTAGTCCAAGCCACGCCCAAAATGTGCCAGTTGATGGGCATTGCCATTCAAATGGTGTGTTTGTGCTGTGTCTTGTGATGGGTTATGTGGGGTGGGGCTTACCTGCCCCCCATATTTTATTCAAGTTGGCACCACTGCTTCCAACTCCTTCTCCCTCCCCATCACTTTTCCTCTAGTGCTGTGTCTCTTTAGAGTGTTGCTCCAGTGATTTGTAAACTGTTCTGGGTGCCTCTTTTGGGGGTGGGGGCTGAAGAGCTGCATGATAAAAAAAGTTATACATAATAATGAAATAATGTGAAAGAAGGAGAAAAGAAATTGAGGTCTAAACCAAAGTCTCATGAGATTTTGAGAGAAATTAAGTTTTATCAGATGCAGTATATGGAACTGATGAATCAGGAGATAGAATGGAAAATTAAGCAAATAAGACAAAGGACATTTGAATCAGCAGATAAATGTGGGAAACTTCTATCATGGCAATTGAAAAAGAGGCAAAAACTGAACACTGTGACAAGCTTAGAGATGGTTGGAAAGAATATTTACAAGCCAAATGAGATAAGTAACTGCTTTCAGAGTTATTTCAGGAAATTATATGCACAAGGGCCAGTCAACGAAGAAGAAATATGGATTACAAAAAATTTCAGAGCAAAGCAAAATGATTTTGAATGAGAAAATAACAGGACAAGAAACAGAGGGTGCCCTTCAGAATATGCAATTGGGGAAATCTCCAGGACCAGATGGTTTGACTGCTAGATACTACAAAGCGTTGAAGGAATGGTTGGTACAACCATTGAAGGAGGTTTGTAATGAAATTTTGGAGGGGAAAAAGGAACCTGAATCGTGGAAAGAAGCTTTTATTTCACTTATACCGAAAACTGAGACTGAAAAGAACCAGGTTAAAAACTACCGCCCTATATCATTACTTAATGTGGATTACAAAATTTTTGCAGACATTTTGGCAAAAAGACTGAAGAGAGTGTTGGTAGGAGAGATTCATAAGGACCAGGCCGGCTTTCTTCCAGGGAGACACATGTCAGACAATGTGAGAAATATAATAGACATTATGGAATTGTTAGAAGTGAACATTAATACGAAGGCTGTGTTAATTTTTGTGGATGCGGAGAAAGCCTTTGACAATATTTCCTGGAGTTTAATGAAGAAGAATCTCCAAGGGATGGGGGTAGGTCAAGGTTTTGAGAACGGTATAGGTGCTATATATTCTGAACAAAAAGCAAAGTTAATTGTTAACAATGTGGTTACGGAAGAAATACCTATAGAAAAAGGAACACGACAGGGATGCCCAATATCCCCTCTACTTTTTATTTCGGTCTTGGAGGTTTTGTTAAATATGATTAGAGGGGACCAGTTGGTTAAAGGAGTTCAGGTCGGAGCCAAACATTACAAATTGAGGGCATTCGCAGATGATCTAGTATTGACTTTGCAACAGCCAGACACTAGTACTAAAAGAGTTTTAGAATTAATCGAAATATTTGGTCAAGTAGCAGGATTCAAACTGAATAAGCAGAAAACTAAAGTTTTGGAGAAAAATCTAACTAATGCTGAAAAAGAGAGGTTTCAGAGTGAAACAAGTTTAGTGATAGCAAAGAAAGTGAAATACCTGGGGATAAATCTAACATCTAAGAATGCGAACTTATTTAAAGACAATTATGATAAATGCTGGACAGAAGTAAAGAAAGATTTAGAAATATGGTCAAGGTTGAGACTCTCCTTGTTAGGCCGAATTGCTGTCATCAAGATGAATGTATTGCCGAGAATGTTGTTTTTGTTTCAGACACTGCAGATTGTGGACAAGATGGACTGTTTCAAGAAGTGGCAGAAGGATATATCTAAATTTGTCTGGCAGGGCAAAAAGCCCAGAATTAAATTTAAGATACTAACTGACGCAAAAGATAGAGGGGGGTTTGCCCTGCCGGACTTAAGACTGTATTACGAATCGGCAGCTTTCTGCTGGTTGAAAGACTGGCTACTTCTTGAGAACACGGACATTTTGGATTTGGAAGGGTTTGACAACAGATTTGGTTGGCATGCATATATATGGTATGACAAGGTAAAAACTCATAAAGGTTTTAAAAACCATATTGTCAGAAAAGCATTATATAACGTTTGGATGCGGTATAAAGACTTATTGGAAAGCAAAACTCCCAGGTGGTTATCACCAATGGAAGCCAAGGAAGTGAAAAAACTTAATATGGAGTCTAAATGGCCTAAATACTGGGAAATTTTAGAGCAAGATGAGGGAAAAATTAAACTACAGAGCTATGAAAAATTGATGTTTAAGGTACGAGACTGGCTTCATTACTATCAAATATTGGAGGTGTTTAAACAGGACAGGAAAATTGGCTTCCAGACGGAGAGGTCAAAACTAGAAACAGAACTGTTAGAACCCAATACTAAGAACTTGTCAAGAATGTATAAACTGCTGTTGAAATGGAATACACAGGATGAAACGGTGAAATCAGCCATGATTAAATGGGCACAAGACATCGGTCATGACATTATGTTTGCTGACTGGGAACAGTTATGGACCACCGGTGTTAAGTTTACGGCATGTAATGCCTTAAGAGAAAATATTATGAAAATGATTTACAGGTGGTACATGACCCCAGTCAAGCTTGCAAAAATTTATCATTTGCCCAATAATAAATGCTGGAAATGTAATGAGACTGAAGGTACCTTTTACCACCTTTGGTGGACCTGCCCGAAGATTAAAGCCTTTTGGGAAATGATCTATAATGAAATTAAGAAAGTCCTTAAAAGGACTTTTCCTAAGAAACCTGAGGCTTTTCTCTTGGGCATGGTTGGCCAATTGGTGTTAAGGAAGGATAGGACGTTTTTTATGTATGCTACCACAGCAGCAAGGATTCTTTTAGCAAAGTATTGGAAGACACAAGAACTACCCACGCTGGAAGAATGGCAGACGAAGGTGATTGACTATATGGGACTGGCGGAGATGACTGGCAGAATCCGTGACCAGGGGAAAGAGACAGTGGAAGAAGACTGGAAGAAATTTAAAACATATCTTAAAAATTGTTGTAAAATTGAGGAGTGTTAAAATGTCAAGGAATTGGGAAATAGAGAATTGCAGCTGTAATTAATAAGAGAAGAACTTAAAAGAAAATGAATTGTATAATTTGTTAATTGGAGGAGTTGCTGAAGAAATATAAAACAAGGATGCAGAAAAGGGGAGGTATGGGGAAGTCCGGGAAGCAAGGTGTATGAAAAAAAAGGTTATGAAATTATACATGTTTATATGTTTGTATGTTTGTGTATTGTGTATTGTTTGTGTTTATTTTGTGTTTGGAAAACCAATAAAAATTTATTAAAAAAACCCCACACATAATAATGAAATAATGAACAAGTGCAATAATTTGGCTCTGGATGACCAGGGTTTGAATGCAGAAGGGCCATAACAGAGGGGTTAGCGCACCTGCTTGGCATGCAGAAGATGCCAGGTTCGGTCTGCAGCATTGCTAGGTTGGCTGGGAGAGACTGCCACCCAGTGTGGACAATGCTGAAGTAGGTGAAACTCAGTAGAAGGCAAGTTCCTGTGTTCTTCATTTATTTAGAACCATGAGGACTGCAAACTTAGTTTATTTTCAAGAAGAGGCCCATGGCTCAGTGGCCAAGCACCTGCTTGGCATGCAGAAGGTCCTAGGTTCTTTCCCTGACTGCATCTCCAGACCCCCACTTGAAACCCTGGACAGCTGCTGCCAGTCAGTATGGACAACACTGACCTCAGTCAACACCTCTGATTCAATGCAAGGCAAACTAAACCCCCAGCTTAAGCCATGCAGTTCAGTGCAGGTGGTGCCTCTGGAGCAGTGGCTGTTTTCTCAGCTTGACCCACCTCACAGGGTCGTTGTGAATCCAAAAATTGGGGTGGGGAGAAGCCATCTTGAGCTCCTGGGAGTAAATCTGGAGCATAAATGTGGTACCACTTTTGGATCGAAAAATGCAACCATATTATTTATATCATTAAATACAATAATATTATTATATCGAACAATACAGTTTACAAATTATAAGCAGTATCTGGGATTTTCCACCATAACAAATCCCAGATACCTATATCAACAGTATATTTTATAAAATAAGTTGTTATTGATAAATCCCAGACATCTAGTTTATAAATCAAAGCGACTCCCAGATGCCTATCATCTGTCTGTCTTTTAAATGTTATTTTAATAAACATTGTTGAGAGAGAGAGATCTGGGATTGGCTGACGACAATATTAGATGGAAGGCAGTATCTGGGTGGGGCTATAGTTTGCAAAACTGATACCTGGGAGCTGCCCTTAGTTACAAAATATTTGACCAGTTATAAGACAGCAAATCCCAGATGCCTGTCTTCTTTCTGGCAGACAGAGATAGGCACCTGGGATTTGCTGCCTTATAACTGGTCAAATTATAGAGAGAGATACTCGGGATTTGCTAGGGAAAATATTTTTTATATCAGGCATTTGTTAAGTCAGTTACCTGTATTAGGTATCTGAGAGGGGCTATAATTTGCAAAACCCGTATCTGGGATTTGCTATCATTAACATATTTTTTTTGTTAAATCATCCAATTAACATCAAATCATAATCCAGTAGAAATAATTTGGATGATAATTTGGTCTTTTTTATAGTTTTTTTTTATCATTAACCTTTTTTTGACCATTTCTAAGACCCCGACCCCCCAGGTACCTGCGGAGCCTGCCCCCCTGCCGGCCGCTCCTCTTTCCCTCCCCGAGGCGGGAGCGCGCGCGGGCGTGTGCGCGCCGGGCCGGCCCTCCAGCTGCGCGCATCTGGCGCGGGCGCTGCGGCAGCGCTTCTGGCTCGGGCCGGCGAGGAGGATGGCGGCGGCGGCGGGGCCGGGGGGCTACGAGGCGCTGGTGCGGCGCGGCTACGCGAGCCTGGCCGGGGCGCTGCGGAGCTGCTCGGGCTGCGGCTGGGAGCTGGCCCGCCGGACCTGGGCCGAGAGCGCGCGGCTGGCCTGGAGCGAGGCGCTGCTCTGCCTGCTGGCCGCCGTCGGCTGGACCGTCGCCCGCCGAGCCGCCACCCGGCGCCTCTTTCGGGTTCGTGGCTCCTGACACTGCCTCGCAAGGGTTAAACTGATCCTGGGCTTTGATTTGCGGGGGGGGGGGGGAGATCCTGGCTTGGCACCCATCACTGACTCGTCTTTTTTATGTGGGGAGGGGGAGAACGTGGTTTTGCGCTCCAGGGGTTAAACCCACCCTTGACTTTGCTTTGAAGGGGTTAAATTGGCCTAATATTTTGGGCTGGGGGGGGGGCTTTCCAATACATTCCAGCAGTGAAATCGGTGCCTGCCTCGCTTCTCCCGTGTGGGTGGGGAATTCACTTTGCATTGCAAATGTTACATTGGCCTCTTGGCTTATTGGGGGGGGGGCTGGTTTTGTATTGCAAGGGTTACACTGGTCCTTTCATTTTTTGGCGTGGGGATGATATGGCTTTGTACCGCAAGGGTCAAATTGGCTATTGCACGCTGTCTTCTTTTGGTGAGGGGGGAGAATCTGATTTTGCATTTCAGGGCCGTAAAACTGGTCATTAAAAACCCCCCTCTTTTTGAGCGGCGGTGGGGAGTGAGATGGCTTTGTTCTGCAGGGGGGGGGGTTAATAACCATCACCTCCGAGGAAGAATCTGGTGCGTGTGGTGGGAGAAATGAAATCCACGCTGGAAATGGGTCAGTGCATTGCCTCCAGAAAAAGGAGCATCTCGTTTGAGCATTGATGGAGTGCGGGAAATTGGTCAGATCATTGCATGGAGCGGAACTACGTTTGTACGTGTATTGGGGGGGGGGCACAACCAAGAAATCTATTTTGCTGTGGTGGAATAAAACAGTCTTTGCATTATATCCAGAGAGGCAAGTGAAATGTGCCATTGTAATTTGGGGGTGTGTGTGCAATGAGGGGCAGGTGAAAGTGTCTGGTCCTTTGCATTGCCAAGGGTGGGGAGGAATCAGTCATTGTGCTGTATTCTTGGGGTGACTCCATCTGGAACAGGGTGGCCTTGAAAATTGCGCTCTCTCTGTGTGTCAAAACATGTCGTCACATCTTCCTGCCGTGTGCGAAATCTGCATCCTTGACATGGCATTTTTTGCAGCAAAACGTGGCGTTGTCTGTGAGGTGGCGCTGGAACGGGGCCTTGAAGTCTTGTGGCTTGAAGCCTGTTGTTGGGTACCTATTTGGGGGGGCGGGGCGGGAGGCAGGGATGCAAAATTTGCAGGGAACGAGAAGTCTTATTTGTTGTGAGTTGGCTAGCTTTCTAAAAAACCCCAGTTTTAGGAGTCTGTGTTCAGATTCGAAGATGGCATCTGATGTTAGATCCATCCTCAGAGTAGACTGACCAAAGTGGATGGACGTGACTAACTCAGTGGGACTAGGGGGGGGGCTCCGAAATATACACCTCATAAATGTGTGCATCTCTTGGGGGGGGGACAACAACTGGGGCATATAGGAATTTTTTTCCCTTCTTTGTTTTAAAGCTTTGCATGTTAGAATAATAGTATCATAGAATGGTCGAGTTGGAAGGGACCCCAAGGGCCATCTAGTCCAACCCCCTGCAATGCAGGAATCTCCGCTAAAGCATCCAGGACATATGGCCTGTATAGACCTCTGCTTAAAACCCTCCCAGGTCCATCACCTCTCGTGGGAGTCTGTTCCACTGCTGAACGGCTCTTACTGTCATAAAGTTTTCCCGAATGTTTAGTTGGAATCTCCTTTCCTGTAACTTGAAGCTATTTGTTCAAGTCCTACCCTCCAGAGTAGGAGAAAACAAGCTGGCTCCATCTTCCACGTGACAGCCCTTGAGATATAGGGAAATGGCTCTCCCAGCCCCTCTTTTCCAGGCTAAACATACCCAGCTCCTTCAAGCGCTCCTCATCAGGCTTGGTTTCCGGACCCTTGATCATCTTGGCTGCCCTTCTCTGCACATATTCAGGCTTCTCAATATCCTTCTTAAATTGTAGTGCCCAGAATTGGACACATTATTCTGACAAAGGCAGAATAGAGTGGCACTATTCCTTCCCTTGACCTGGACACTAGACTTCTGTTGATGCAGCCTAGAATAGCATTAGCCTTTTTTGCTGCTGCATCACACTGCGGACTCATGTTCAGCTGGTGGTCCACTAAGACTCCTGTTGAAATACTTCTTTTATCTAAATGATATTTTATTAAATGTTCACAAGTTTAACATATACACTCCAATATGTAATAAATTTTTCTTTAGTTTTGTCAACTTCCCACCCCATTTCAGTTGTGTTTTTATTTCTCCCCCTCTGCTGTGCCCTGGTCTTCTATCTCTTATACTATAACAGCAATAAAATAATTTCTAATTCCTTCCATTGCTCCTACTTCAAATCCTGCTCATGAGTTCATCATACTATAGTATTTCTTTAGGGAATCCGAAAAGGCTTCGATTGAGTGTTGAAAGCTTTCAAAAGTACTGGATACATTGATAAGATACTCCCTAATGTCATCGTTGGTTTGGATTTTAGAAAGGAACATCGCTCAGTGGGTAGAGCAGGAGACTCCTAATCTCAGGGTTGTAGGTTTGAGCCCCACATAGGGCAAAAGATTCCTGCATTGTAGGGGGTTGGACTAGATGACCCTCAGGGTCCCTTCCAAATCTATGATTCTACGGTCCCTCATGTTGAGTCAGGCCATCTAGCTCAGTATCTTTGACTCTGGGGTTGAGGAGATGATGGGGATGGAACCTGGGACCTTCTGCATGCAAAGCAGGTGTCCTAGTTCTGAGTTGCAGCCATTCCCTGTGAGCTACTGTCTTTAGATGCCAAGAGAGGTAAGGATCTAGTCCTCATGGTTCAGTGTAAAGGCCCAGTTTAAACAGGAATGTAGAGAGCTATGTACACTTACCAGATAACCGTTGTGAGAACAGGATACTGGACTAGATTCCCCCATCCCTGACCTGATCCAACGGCTGCAGGACCCAGTCTTAGGTTATTAAGAAGTTCAGAAGAGCCTCCTGGATCAGGCCAGTGACCCACCTGGTCCAGCATCCTGCTGATCAGACACCTGTGGGAAACCTGCAAGCAGAATGCAAGCTCCACAGCGCTCAGCCGTCCTGTGCTTTGCAGTAAAAATTCAGAAGGCATTATCATTCCCAACTGCAGAGGTTGAGCAGATCCTTCATGGGGAGATGCCATCAAAAGCCATTCCAGAATGCGGCTCCCAGACTGGTATCCTCACTTTTCACAGCTGTAGCCTGTAGGTGGTGCATGCTCTGGTTATCTCCTGCTTGGACTACTGCAATGCACTCTACGTGGGGCTACCTTGGAAGGTGACTCAGAAACTGCAACTAACCCAGAATGAGGCAGCTAGACTGGCGACTGAGACCATATAACTGGTCCTAAAGGATCTTCCCTGGCTCCCAGTATGTTTCCGAGCACAATTCAAAGTGTTGGTGCTGACCTTTAAAGGCCTAAATGGCCTCAGCCCAGTATACCTGAAGGAGTGTCTCCACCCCCATCATTCTGCCCGGACGCTGAGGTCCAGCTCCGAGGGCCTTCTGGCGGTTCCCTCACTGTGAGAAGTGAGGTTACAGGGAACCAGGCAGAGGGCCTTCTCAGTGGTGGCACCCGCCCTATGGAACGCCCTCCTAGCAGATGTCAAGCAAATAACTATCTGACGTATAGAAGACGTCTGAAGGCAGCCCTGTATAGGGAATATTTTTTATATGTTGGAAGCTGCTGAGAGTGGCTGGGGCAACGCAGTCAGATGGACGGGGTACAAATAATAAAATGATTATGTTGCTGTTATTCATGAATTAGCTCAATTCTCTTTTAAAGCCATCCAAGCTGGTGGCCATTGGTGCCTCCAGTGGCAGTGAATTCCATAGTTTAAACTATGCAAAGGACTTCCTTTTCTCTTCAGAACCTTCATTGGACGGCCATGAGTTCCGGCATTTTGAGAGAGGGAGAAAATGTTACAATTATCAGACAACGGAGGCTGACTCTTAATACCAGTTGCTATGAAACACAAGGGGGTCTTTTTAGTTCCTTATGATTCCTCAGTGGAGCCTCCATGGAGAGAGGCAGTCTAACTTAGAATGGGAAGAGGCTGCTTCTCTCACTGGTCTGCCGCTCTGAGGACAGAAGGCTGGACTTTGATGGCCCCCCTGGGTCTCATCCTGCACAGCTTTTCTGCTGTCTTTGGGAGTTGTAATTCAGCCACCTATGGAGCGAGCCAGATATTGGGGAAGAGGAAAACTGCTGCTGGCTGGA